TTCATAAATAAGTAGCAAAGTAATGTAAAAATCGCATCATTGTGTCTCTACTCAGTAGTGAATATTAGGGACATACTCCTAATTTAAAAGAGTCTCTCAAGGACCCAATAGCGTAAGAGAGCGTTCACTCAATATAGACATAAAAAAAGTAGCGTGAAAACGCTATGACCAATCAGAACGCCGTCAGACCATCATATCAACGGATAACGGATGCATAAAAATCAAGCTTAAGCGTGTACAAAAAATATTGCATCTAGGGTTGGATCTTTAATTTACACAACTATTTACTCATTTTACTACAACTGTAATAACTTCTTATTAAGTCTCGGTCTCAAAACAACGTTGTGTCGATGGCGAAACTACCAAAACAATCATAGTTGATAGTTTGGGACATGGTTTAGGACCATGGTTTAGTAACTAAAGTCAATATTGACAGCTGTTTGAATTTAGTCAAATTTTATTGGTTCTATGGCGTGTAGCCCATGACACTGCATAGTTTTAGAACGAAGCTTTACACCATGAAATAGGATTACTAACACTATTTCTGAACTAAGCTGAACAGACCAATGAATATTTATTTCTATGGTTGTTTGTAAAAAGTGGCTACAGATATTTAATATCAAGCTATGAAGCAACGGTCTAACAGAAATGAGCATCATTAAATAGCTTAGATATATTAGCTTCGTTTATTATGTTATTTCACGTTTGAACTGGCAACAATGCATGCCGCTTTATATTTCGTCTCTCTGTCTGTCAACTGGTCGTATATATTTATCTCTGTCGTATGCATTAAAATACAGACCACGGAAATAAAGTGACCAGCAGTGCGATCCTGTAAACATATTTCCTGTTTAGTGACTTATCAATCGTATAAAAATAACATAGGCTAGGCAAGAAATTTCTTGCTACGGAGCTTACAGCATCTCACTACAAGGCTAGTATGTCTGCTCTTTGTTATCTATGCATTTTTTTGTATTTTATAAGCCAGTGAGTCCCCCAAGATAACAGTAGTGGGATTCTGTAAGCTACGCTTTCAATTAATCTACATTTCATTTCATCTCCCAAAATTTCATTTCAATGTAGCTCTCATTGGAGCCTCCGCGTCGTATGAGAGGAGCCACCATGTATATTGCGTTTACAAATACCTATTTTGAAACGTTGAAAACAACGTTATTTTGTTAAATAATCGCAATTACTAAATACCAGCTATTTGTAACAATTTGCGTATTCTTTGAAAAAATAATGATTAAGTTAACAAAATAATTGGAATGTGTAATATATTTACTCCTAACCATTTATCATTCGAACCCTAAACTATCTTCCAGCTTTTAATTTCCATCTAATGTACGTACAATAAAATTTTAGTCGGTCTTCAGCATTAGTGCTCTGATTAGTGTAAAGGTCAAGTGCATTTTACACATATTTTACAACAACGCATTTTTGACACAGTGGTACTGACAATTCCGTAATAGTTTTTTTTTCAATAGGATTTATCCCTCTTATGCTTCTCTTATGAGAAATTTTTTGTAGCATACATTATGTAGCATTGGACATATATGTCCAAGGTGGTACAAACTAAAACCAGAAAAATGAAAAATAAAAATTTAATGTTGATCCACTGGATTCAAATGGAATTAATGGGTATATGCTCACCTTATTAGATTTTAAAAATGGCGAATGTGACGTCATTAAAACTGATTTTTTATTATAATCGGAATGAATAATTTTTATTAAATGGTTTTTATACAGTGTGAGTCTTAGTCATAAGTGCAAATATTTTAGAGGTAATATATTAAGATACGAATATAGTAGGATACGTTTATGAGGTTTTTTTCCCAAACAAAATTAAAAATTTGGAATTTTTTGAAAAAAGTTTTGAATTTTTTTTTTAGTTTTTAGTTAAATCTAGCAGCCCTGAAAATATTTGCACTAATTTAAGACTCGCCCTGTGTATAAAAAGCATTTTTTTCATCTCCACAGAATGTCTAAAACACTTTAAACCATTTTTTTCATATTATACAGGGTGTCCCCGAAATAAGTGCAGATATCTTAAGGGGTAATAAATCTGGTCAAAAAAAACATCTTTTCTCTTTACCTTTTTTAAAATAAATTGAAAATAACCGAGTTATTTAACTTTGAAATTTTAAAAAATAATACATACATACATACATACATAGTACATACATTAAAAAATAATGGCAACATTTTGAGAAACGCGGGCGATAACCAGCTATAAGAGTTTTTCACGAGGTTTGTCAGCTTATTCGACGCCCCAGGTGAATAAACAAGTGGCACTAAAAAGTTTTTTAAAATTTCCCGGAAAATGTCAAGAAAAATATATAATTTTCAACAATTTCTTCTCGCAAAAAAAAATCTCATAGGCGTGTTTCTAGGACAAAATATACTAGGTACCAGTTAAAATATTTGCACTTATTTCTGGGACACCCTTTATAGAAAGAATTTTGTTAAGCAATTTTTATCTCTGCATCTACGGATACAGTGGTAATCTAAACTGCGTAATATTAAAAACTATAAAGTTGTCTGCAGACAGAGAAGCAAACAATTAAAAAAAAAATAATCATCTTCTTAATTAAGGGAAAAAAATAACGATCTAATATATTTTTTCTTCAAACATTGTGTAAACATGTAAAAATTCACTAATAATTTGAAAACAATAAAAGTAAATTTCCATAAAGCAACGGTTTAGTACTTATTCGCCTCCAAACTTACTTATTTAGCGTATTTTAACAGGTATCTGTTATGCTAACAACATTTATCTTTTATTTTCATATACCTACAATAATTTACACCATGCTAAAGGTAGAGTCGATGAACCATATGTGAAGGACAACTGGTTTTAAAATAAAAATCTGTATCATATAGTAACTATATTTTATTATAAGAAATATTATCTACTTTTAAAATTAACTACAATAAAAATATAACTTATATTAGTGTCTTATAAAATCAGTCCCAAGCATATTATTCCTTAATATCTAATTCATAGGCATATCAAAAAAAATCTAACTTCGTTCACTCTTAACATACGCTAATATCACAATATAAAGAGATTAAACTTTCTCAACCAGAGGCAAAAATATGTACTAAATAAATGCTATGCTATTTTCTAAGCCGGCGCTGGAGCAACTCCAAAAGCAGATATAAATACGTTGATTACGTAACGAGAAATACGCCAATTATGGTAAAATTATTAATTTTATTCGCTATACACAACGCTTTTTTGTCTTTGACGTTGTAAGTGGCATTCCATACAAGTCCTATACCAACAGCAACCTGCAAGATAAAATAATAAAGTCAGATATTTGTCAATATTACACAAAATCTAAGAGTTAAAATATACAGGGTGGCTTGAAATATAACAGATACCGCGGGAGCGTCTGAAAAGTGGCTCGCCCCTATAACTTTTTTATTTTTTCAGATAAAAAAAACGAGATTTGATATGTTAGTATATGACATAAATTAGGCTTGATTGACGTATTCAATTGTTTTTGGTCACTTTCTGTTTCACCGGACTACAAATTTTGATTTTTAAATTGCACCCTCGGTATTTTTTTACTTTATTCGATAGAAAATGACATTCTGAATAGAATGACATATTAAGTCAACTTTCTTCTGTAAAGTCTGTAAAATTATTCTGGAGATATTTCGACAGGCAAGACATTTTCTTTTTAAATTTTACTGTATATTTAAAAACTTTTTAGAACTGCCTATTCACCGCAAATTTTCCCACGTTATAATTGCTTAATCTTCTGATATTACCATGGTTACAGCTTTACTCTATGATTACGGCACTAAAAAGATGCAAATAGAGAAAAAAACCGGTGGCTCTCAAAGAGAAAATATGATTCTTTTACTGAGATCTACCAGTCCCGAAAATATTTGCACATATTTAAGACTCACCCTCTAAAAAGTTTTTTTGAATAGCACTAAACGGCGGTTAAATTGTGATAACCCAATTTCAAAGTAATAGCAGTTTTATTTTATATATTTTATTAAATTTAACCGTTTTTGATTTTTTTTCAATTTAAGTTCAAAATTTAATTTCAAAAATATATATTTTTTTAAAATAAATTTATGTTGCCTTTCATTTAAATTAGTTCTTACATTACTTTAAATTTTTATAACTTGATAAATATACCACACAGGATATTCATAAAAATATGATTCATTAAAATATGAAAATCGAGATTAAAAAAGTTTTTTTTAGTTCATTTTAAATAAAAAAAGTGTTTTTATATTTTCCATAATCCAAAGTAGAAACGCAACATTGCATGAAGTTATATTTCAAATACTATTTTGATTATTTCCAACATTAATGCATTATTTATGGCTTTACCTGAATACATTATAATTTTAATCTTACCTGTAAAAGTAAACTAATAGAAATAAGGGCTAAACTAGGGTAATAATATGGATGAGTCCTAAAAGTTTCCAAGACGTATCTGAATTGATTTGCATTTGCTGAGAACAGAGCTAGATCCATCATTCCCTGAGCCAGAGTTTTCTTGTGTTGGTAGACGTTCAAATCTGGAATGGTCTCACCGCCTATGGAACACGGAGCGATTTAGTAAGAATTATAACATTAAAATAGCTTGCTGACTTACTTGGAAGCGTGTTTACCCCGTTGCCTAGTTCAAAATCGTATCCCCACGGCCTAAAACCTGGACTACCAGGAAAATCAGGCAAACCAGACGGATTAACTTTTGCAACATCGGTTGGTGGTTTTGCAGCCTCTGGCTGGTCTGGATTAACTTGTGGATTTCCATCATTATCATCTGGACCCAGTCTAGAACCATAAGAAGATTATTAATAATATTGTTTGGCCGTATTTTCCTCAAAGATAACTTACCTGGGTACTATACTGAACGTAGGAATATCTTCAGGTTCTTTATGGTTAATAAATTCCACATCTGGATGTCCAGAGTCATCTTCACCAGATGGTTTAACATTTTCGGTATCTTAAACCAAAATAAAGAAGTTAGAAAAAATGTACCATTCCATACGAAATGCGATATAGTCATATTGGATTAAGAACAAAAATACAGAATAAAAATAATAATATATTAGGTAAGTATGCTTTAATTTTAAATTAGACGACATTAATTATAGGCACCTTCAAATAAAAATTAATAAATCTTAGACATATATAAAATGTATCTAAATATAAATGATGTGTGTTTTTGTAAGATTTTTCTTTTAATATCTTTTCTTGTTCGTATTTATAGATACTTATCTCATTTTAACGGACATAACATGATAATTTATCAAAAAGCTTACGACCATAGCTTTATTTAATTTCCATTGTCCTGTTAAGCTATAGTTTATACTCAGAGAATTGCATATTAATTACTTGTTATGTTGATTTTATAAATTGACTTCTCTTGAATATTTTAGCAAAAGAGCTAGTGAACATTGAATTTATTATACATTCAAACTTCTATCAAAATACAGAATTATTTTTATATGGTACTACAGTTAAATAGTGATATAAAAGCTTATGGTATTCTACTGCCAGATATGAGAGATATTGCATAAAAATTGAAAATGTTGATTGAAATTTAAAGAAGCTGTCGTAATTTTAAAGAAAAAAACATTTTACTCTTTCATTAATTAATATTCCTTTAAAGATTTAGTCCTTAATTGTTATTCTTATTATAGAGTTATACTATTTGTTGGCATTATGATTATTATCTATTGTACTTCCTTACTTGTGCCATTGGTAAAGAATCCATCATCAACACCAGGATATGGACGATTTACTACTTCTCTGTCATCATGTTCATCATCAGTTTCTATATGAGCTAAGGGAGCATCAGAGGTGTTGTTTCCTCCAATGTGAAGCAACGGCCTGACAGCGTTTGGTGATGGACTCCTACTCCTATCGGTGCCATTAGTCAAAGGTTTCAGCATCATATTTATTGAATGTCTAGAAAATAGATCATTAAAGATAACCATGTGTGATAACATTTATATTTCTGCAACACCATTCAACACTATCTGAGCTTTAATCATGAAAATTTTTCCCAATTTCATAATTTAATTTTTTTTCTAATACATCGTCAATACAACATTCGTGAATAGGGTATTACTGTATTAGGATCAATTTTATTCAGTTAGTATTCATAACACAAGACAAACATTAAGTCAATAATAATTATAGTTAGATATTCAGTCATTTCTGTTGATATAATCTAAGCTTATGTCATGAAGCAATGCAAATCATAAAAAATGTGTTATCTTCAATTCTAGGCAATTTTGAAAAATATATGTAATAACCACCTGCAGCGATTTAATGTGTATTTATTACTTTTAAATTGACATATCGCACCCTTAGTTATAAAGGGGCATAACTCAAAAATTACGGGTTTTCAGTTTTATTCATAAAGGGGCCTAAAATACTGCCCTCTATCGGTTTCTAACCGACTTACGCATAAAACGTACTTTTTTAAGTGTAGAAACCTATATATCAGCCTTTTTAGTACTGATGGATGCCGCGCGCTTTTTTTAGAACTAAACGGCCACCATTCAGTATCATGCCAACACTATAGTGAACAGGTTGTGTTTTCTTGTCGGCGTGTTTGTGATTGTGTCTTTGATTCACAAATTGTCAGGTAAATAATCATTTAATTTTTAGTGATAGGGGCCTATTTTTAGTTAGTGCTTTTTTATATTTAAAAGTGGTGCAATTATAAAGAGGTATTTAGGTTAATGCCCTTTTATTACTGAAATTATAAGTACATTTATATGATTATCTCGAAATGTGCCTTTTTTTTACTGACTTTGTTTAGACTTTGTCAATTTTGAAAAGCGCATTAGGTCTTAGTGCTCTTTTGATTTAAATTATGAAAATGTATACTTCTTAGCATTTCGAGTTAGGCCCATCTAGAACTAAATATTAGGTTGTGATGTTTCTTTTTTCCTTAGAAAATCGTCGGTGATGTCTGAAAGAGCTCGCAGAATGGTAGGTGTAGCAAGATCTACCTTACACAAGGTAAGCACTGGATTTTTTTTTGTTTTTATATGCGTTTACCCTTATTATGCCGCGCCATTTTTAAATTTTTAATTGGATTTTTTTTCTTTTAGGAAACCCTACCTTTAGAATTTCAAACCGAACCGGAAAATCGTATTGTTTTAGATCAGGGCATCGAACAGGATAATACAATAAACTCGATTATGGTAAATTTAGAATATATTATGTATGTATTTTTTAAAAGGCGTTTTAAATTTTTGTTATTATTCTTTAGACTTACGAATTTATTGAGACAGAAGAGTGTAGTAAAGAAAAATTCACTGAGAATTTCATCTCAAATCAATCTATTGAAGATACTAACGAAGATTTGGAGCTGGTAAATGTTATCATGACATTCAAAAAATTGCAATTTTGTAAATTAATGATGCTTGTTTTAGGGCAAAAATAGTTCTGTAGATAGAGAATGCGTTCAAGAAAAACCAGATCATCTCAGTTTGGATGTTAACGAACCAAATTTAACAAAATATTTGGATATAGTAGGTTTCAACCATTATAACAAAAAGTTCTCCAAAAAGTTGATTCTTTTTGTTTTAGTCTTTCAATGATTCTGTTGAAGTAGATCAAGGTCGCCCGAAAGAAAAATCAGATTACTCAACTTTGACCAATGAAAATAATTTGATTCAACGTTCGAATGTCGAAGTAAGCTGAAAACATTTTACAAAAAATTTAAAATCTTCACCGTTTTGTTCGTGTTTCAGGCTACTGAATCATTTACTGTTGAACTAGATAAAGAGTGTCCCACTAAATTACAGATAAAACGAAAATGCTGTACGGATGTAACAAACAAAAAATACCGCATTTCTCCGATTCACTCAAATGAAAGTGATGTTGACCACACCGATTCTGATCCGACTTATTCACAGGAAAACTATCAAATTAGGTATTCTTTTCTGAATGATATACTATCAACAAACTTCCCAGTGCCTGAAAATAGTTTGTCTTCGAATTCATCTTCCGATAATTCTTCAGAGTCGTCTACAGATGAAGAAAATCTTCAAGAGAATATTCACAAGGGAGGAAACGTTCTAGAAATCCCGAAAAATGGAAGCAAATTAAGGCCAAAAACTTCGAAACAGTGGGAAAGCTTACAAATCAGTATCCAAGTCCAAGAAACAAATTCCAGAAAGAACAATGAAATCACCTTGTCCTGAAAAATGTCGATTAAAATGTGGTGATAATATCGATACGGAAAATCGAACAGCGATATTTAATAGTTTCTGGAAACTTGGGGATATTAATAAGCAACGTGCATTTGTTGGGTCATGTATGAAAAATATAGTTCCCCTCGATACAAATACACGAATGCCGAAAGACCTAGAAATGCCAACCAGGCTTTTTACTTCACAGTAAATGAGTTTGCCAATACGAGTTTGCAAAACATTTTACAAAAATACCTTGGACATATCGGACAAGATGATTCGCACTGTGGGATTAAGATGGGTGAAAATGGATTTCTACAAGATGATAATCGGGGAAAACACAATCATCACCTACAAATTGATCCACTTCTTAAGGAGGATATAAAAAATCACATCAATTCAATTCCGAGAATCGATTCACACTACGTGCGATCGACTACTGAACGTGAATACATAGATGGCAGTAAAACTATTACTCAACTCTACAAAGACTTTGAACAAGATCAGAAATGAAAGAAGAAAAGCGCTGGAAAATATTGGATTTATTATAATATTTTTACAAGGGACTTCAATATCGGGTTTCATCAACCCAAAAAGGATCAGTGCGACCAATGCCTATCCTATCTTAATGCACAGGGAACATCCAAAGAAAATTTGGAAAAAGAATATAGAAACCATTTACAAGAGAAAGATTTGAGCCGCACAGAAAAGAAACAAGATCGTTCTGAAATATCAGACAATAAAAAAGTAGTGGTTTACGATCTCCAAGCGGTCCTACAGTGTCCAAGGGGTGATACTTCCGCTTTTTATTACAAATCCAAGCTAAATAGCTATAACCTAACTCTAGTAGAATTAGAAAAAATAGAAGATAATGCTAAAAAACATCATGCCTACAAAGATGTCCATTGTTTTTATTGGAACGAAACAGAAGGTAAACGTGGCGCTATTGAAATAGGCACATGCATTCTGAAATATTTTGACACAATATTTAGCTGTAATCCAAATTTACACGAGACCGGATTAGACATTACATTCTATTCTGACAACTTCTGTGGCCAGAATAAAAATAAATTTATTGCAAGTCTTTATTTATATGCTATCAATCGTTACAACATAAAAAGCTTGACACATAAATTTTTAATCAAAGGCCACACCCAGAATGAAGGGGACAATGTTCATTCTTTAATAGAAAAAGAAGTAAAGAGGAACCTAAAATCCGGTCCCATATACACTCCCCATCAATACGTCACTATAATAAAAAACGCAAAAAAATCCAAGCCGTCTTTCAATGTTCACGAACTCTCACACGAATGTTTCCTTGATATTAAAAAACTTCAAGAGGATCTGGGATGTAATTTTAGGGAAGATGTCCGAGGAAATGTTTTATCTTGGAATAAAATAAAAAGTCTTAAATTTATTAAAGACAAGCCATACAGTTTTTTTTATAGAACATCTTATTCTGATGATTACACTGAAGTAGTTGTGAGATCTCAAAGGAGAAAAATGAAAGCCATCGAAAAGTTACAATTGGGGCTGGTTTATCCAACAAAACTTGAACTTGGTGAAAATAAGAAGAAAGACTTAAGAGATCTCGTTTCAAAAAACCTAATACCTAGTTTTTATTCCGATTTTTTTAACTCGATTTTGTAAAATTTAGTGTTTTTTTAAATCATACTAAACTTGTAATAAGACTGGTTTATTTATAAGGGTTCCTATTGTTATACCAAAGTTTTACGAGTAGAATAAGAAATAAATTTTATTTTTTCAAAGTTTATAGTTAACGAGTAGCATAAGGCGTTACCGGATTTATAAAAATATAATTTTTATACCTACTGATGAAATGATTAAAATTTTGTTTTTGTGTATACTGTTGTTTCCCTTAAAATTGCTATAGTATTATAGTACCCAGAATCATTTTAGAATTTATATCTACAGAGGCACAATCATAAATGTTATAATAACAAAATCATAGTTTTTACTAATAAAAAGTATCATCTCAAAATAAACATCGCAATAAAAGTCTAAAATTGAACGAAAACAGGCACATTTCTAAAAACGTTTTTGTTTATTTTCAAAAAATTTAGAACTAAAGGGGCGCAACTGATTTTATCTAATTCTCAAAGCCACAAAATCCTCGATATCACTTTAATTGCGAAAAACTTTAACTACCTCTTATCTCGACTATAGTAACAATCATAAAAACAATTGCTTCGACATATCACACAAATGCTTTTCATAAAAATAACATTTATGTTAGTCTTTTACCATTAGACCAACACTTTTTGTCATTTATAAGAAAACTGTATTTTTGGGATTATGCCTCTTTAATACTAAGGGTGCGATATGTATTTTAAATAAGAAAATTATAGATTGTAATATATCAAAAGACGTTTTCCGACGTTTGGTTTCTGTTATTACTAGAAACAATTAACATATTTTTTATACGGAACACACATACACTTTAATTTAAAAATACAAAAAATCTATGATAGAGTAATATGTATGCCAGTGGCGGCTCGTGAGTTCTGAAGAACAGCCTCCACAAGAAAAAAACTTATCTACTGTTATTGTTAGGGCATTAAGTCTATCCTAGATTTCATACTCGAAATGAGATGTAACGTAAAAAAATTATCATGCCCTCAATTGTATACTAATTTCTTCCCTTTTGTCTTGGAGGTTGGGTAGATACTTGCCCCTGTACCCTTTAGTACCAGCGTCCATTGCTATTTAGGAATAAGTTTCGTTTAAAACTATTTAAAGCTCTGAAGGAATAGAATTTGGAAACATGTATTAATCCAGAGTAAATTATTTATGTTCCTAAAATATTAAACACTACAAATTTGATATAAACATAAAATAGGAATTTATTTCTTTGGTAACAGAGAGAACAAATTCTTTATTATCTATTGTCAGTTGCAAATAAAGCAAAAGACAATTTTCTTTATTTTTTTCTCACCGAATTAATGGAAAACTGTATGTAATTATTTTAAATTGAGGGAACTGAGAATTTTTTTCTATTTTTCTTTGTTTAAGCTGCAATTTTATATTTAAACTCTTATTATCTACAATTTCAAGTCTATTTATTTTTTCTTTAATTTTCTTATTTGTTGTTTCTAGTTTTTAACTTATTTTTAGCAATAACAAAAGCAAAACAAGTATATAGTTTATATTATACCGGGTGCGTCTCGAAAGAGACTCACCCCTATAACTTCTTTATTTTTTCAGATAAAAAAACGAGATTAGGTATGTTAGTATATGACATAAATTAGGATTGATTGACGTACTCCATTGTTTTTAGTCACTTCCTGTTTCACTGGAAATGACTACAACTTTTGATTTTTAAATGGCACCCTCGGTATATTTCTGATTCATTCGATAAAAAATAACACTCTGAATAGAATGGCATATCATATGTCAACTTTCGACATTTTCATTTAAAAATATCGTATTTTAAATTTCAAACTAGAGTGTCATGATTATGCTAAAAACACTAATTTTTAATCAAGGAGCTTTAGAAAAATAACTTTTGATCGTCTAATGTTTTTCGTGTCTTGTTCTGGCCGGTTTAAAAATGCCCAAATCGTATTTTTAATCGTATCTCAATTTTTTCAAATGGAACAAGGATGGCTCATTAGCATGTTTGGAAAAAGCATTTCTCACGAATAATTTGATACCACACACTTGGCATTTCGAGTGAAATTGTCGTTATGAATCGCATGTTAAAATGTCAAAATAAACCATTATGCGAAAATGTCATGTCGAATGACATCATATGTCAAAAGTTAAGATATGATATGTCATTCTATTCAGAGTGTCATTGCCATCGAATAGAGTAGAAATATACCGAGGGTGGCATTTAAAAATTCAAAGTTGTAGTTGTTTCCCGGTGAAACAGAAGACTGAAAAATCAGTCTGAATACGTCAATTAATCCGAATCTCTGTCGTATAATAACATTCCAAATCTTGTTTTTTATATGAAAAATAAGAAGAGGGTTGAGTCACTTTCGAGACGCACCCGGTATAAAATAATTAACAAATTCCTTTAAAATAATTATTTTTTTTAATTTAAATGCAAAATTCACCATGCATTTTCAACCCAATATTTCTTACCATTGTTTTATTATTGTGATTTTCTTGGCATATTATCAAAGATCTATTTGCATCATAATTAATGTTTTAAGTTTATAAAATAAAATTTTACTATAAAACTTACCCTGCGTCTTTGTCAAACCTTGAGTGTCCTTTAGATGTGCGGTAAGTTATGTCCATGTAACAGCGGCAGTAAATAAACGCATTTGCATAATTTTATCCTTCTGACTGCAACAGCAAACACCCGTCTTCCACTAGCACGCGATTCAGCGCAACAAAACAAATAGTTTTAACCACAAGTTGTTTATGCAGATGAACCGTTACCGATGCCCGATGCCAAGTCACAGAAGAACAATACCGATATTCTTGTATATAAAAAATCAATATTTCTGATGGAGTTGTGTTGCGACCGAACGTCGCCACAATATTGACCGCGGCGCTCGTGCTTCGTCCGGTTTTGAACGTTTTCGACGAGGGAATTTTCAGAAATTACTTAGCCGCTTCCACCGAAGCGATTTAATTATAATTCGCAAATTACCGGCCGGCTGCAGACAGGTCGCCAGTGTCAACCTTTAGAAATCTGGGTGGACCAGCAATACGTAACTGAAATCCAAATAGCATAAATAGATTTTCCGACTAGAGAAAGTGCGTGTTTCTTAATAATTTTCAACGTGAACAGTTTTCTGCGGATCAATATAGGCCTTGTTTATTATAGGGTATTTGCACGAAAGTGTTTAAGAACAAAGCAAAACATTGCAGATAACGTATGATCGAACAAAAAAGCATATACATATACTCACTGCATCACTCAAACCATACATGTACTCACTGAAAGAGGGCAAAATATGCCACTGAATTTGTAATCTACGGATACAAAATTTTCTGTGTGTTTCTGTTATTTAGTCGTAAATAAATTTGTCCCACCAACCAAAAATAATTTTAATTCTTTAAAGGGTGTATCTCCCTTTGTCGTCAGAAGGAATAAAAAGAGCAATTTGTGTTTCTGAATTATAAATCCAGTAGTATTTAACAAAATATAAACATTTTTATTTCTTATCTTTTGTTTCTGTTACGAACTACCGAGCTGTTTTCAGAAAAGAATAATTGTGGTTAAATTGGTGGTTGTCTTATTTATCTTTTTATGATTAGATTCTTGTTAACAATAGCGGGACAGTTAAGAAAATAACTTATCAAAAATTGTGGTATTTCCTGTGACAAACGCCACAAAACATACTGATATACTAGAGGAATATTTTTTGAATTTCTGTAAATCCTGTAAAACAAGTTGCTTGTATCTAATATTTTCGTATTTATACTCGTAATATGGTAATATAAACATAACATATATGTTAAATTTACAAGAAAGAAAACCCAAAAAAGATCCAGTGGTTCTCAAAATTTAAGTAAAAAATCATTTTTTTTTGTGGAAATTTTCAAAGTAAAATAACTCGGTTATTTTGGACTAATTTTGAAAAACGGTAAAGAGAAAATATGTTTCTTTTATCGAGATCTACCACCCCTTAAAATGTCTGCATTTATCTCTGGGACACCCTGTATAGTTACTTACACAGGGTTTCTCAGGAAAGTGCCAGCCCCCGAGGAAGCATTTTTTTAAATTGTATTATATATTTGGATTCTATATCTATATATATTCTAGATCAATATTTTTTTAAATAAAAGTTTTCTTCTTATTTGAAGGTGTCATATTTTAGTTATATTCTTGTAAAAATTTGATACATATGATCCAAGGTATCCACAAATTCATCCCATTTTTGTTCTCTTTGTTTCAATGATCATCAAAAATGAATGAAACTTAATTTTTACATTTATATGGTCATAATCGAGGTACTTCTTCGTAAAACGCTCTGTATAGCCTGTGCAGATCTTTAATAAGTTTTATGAATTCTCCTTTTAGTGTAATTTAAATTTTTATTCGTCATAGTTCAAAGCCCCGCCGTTTAAGTTTATTTTGAAGATTTCGATGAAACAAATAAGCATACTGTTGACACAGTGCCAAAATCTAAAGAATATAAATAATACAGCTCTTAACATTTCCAACTAAAACAAACATGTTTTTTACTAAGAATAAACATATATATATCTACATATACCTCTGAATTATGTTTGTCGGAATTATGTACCTATTCTGATTAAATCGAAAAAATTATAATTTAACAGTGAAATCATAATAATTATGGTTTTTACTTTCAAAGCTATATAGATATGGAGCAAATGCGCACGGCCTTCCAAGAATGTTGATCGATTAAAGTTTTGCAGAAATATGTAAATTCCATGATATGGTGTAATTGTACCAATTACGCATAGTTAACTGCAGCGGCTCTAATAATTCAGACAGAGGTAGGTAGCTGCCAACGTAACATTACTAATATTTTTTAACAAATACATTTTTAACTTAAACAGTTAGGGATTTATTAGTTAATAAAAATACCTATATATTTATAAAATATACATAGTTAGTTGCCTATATTCAATACCAATTAAACTTTTAGTTACGTAATCGAGTGTCCGATTTTTAAGTTCATTGTAGCTCGGCTGTAAAAAATGTCAATTTGCCACATTTATTTATTTATTTCCTGATATTGTCATTCGTTTTGGCACTTCAATTTTGTATTACGAGTTTTTGGTTTAAATAAATTGTGTTGTGATACGTTAAGCTTTAAAGTGTTTACTAGCGGACCTTGCAGTCGAACATTTTGTTCTTTTTAGAACCTCTTTTAGTGCGAAGTGTACAAGATAGCTTAATAGCCGTAAAAACCCATCGCAACTTTATTAGAATATTTTGAACGGGAAACGGATTTAATTATGAAATCAGCGAGAACCGAATTATCACTATCGCAACTTACAAAGCTCCTTGTGGAAAGAAGTACATTCTAAGATGTTAAAATTCAAATACATTTTAATTAAAATATACTGCGGCCTCTCCATAAGAGCAATGAGAGAATTTATGTCCCAGGATTGAAGGACAGAAGATCGAGTTTGACATAAGTCCATCCTTGTTCAGTAGATGGATGTAATGCACATGCGCCGAAATGCTACTTTTCTATTGGCCGAATGGTGTCGAGATGGGTTATCGATTTATTTTTGGACGCGTCGTCGGCGTTTTGTTTTCAGTTTGGACTTGGGCAGTCGCCATTAGTGTTTTCTCTAACTTTCTGTGTTTTCCACGTGTACTGTGTTTTCGTTTGTATTTTAATCTTTGTGCGTTTATTGACAATTTTGTGATTTAGTTTTAAAGACTTTTGCTGTAGTTTAATTAATAGAACAATGCGAATGGGCTACTGCTTTTTGTGTGGTAGAAGCCAACTAACCAAATTAATAATAGAAATTTTTCTCGATGTTCGTTTGTTTCATGAAAGCAAAATCAGAAATGAAAGGGATGTTAATATAAGACAAAAATATACGAAACTAATTTTATTCAAAAATCAATAATTGTTAAAAGCATTATATTTAGTCTTACTATTTTAAAATAAAAATGACATTATAATGTAAAGACTAAAAATAGAGACTACATAAGGCTAATTCTAATGCTTACACAGTTACACACAAACTGTCTTATTGTAAATTATTATTGTTTATTTTTCATAATATAAAAGAGTATTTACAATGCAACAATGTAAATAATTATATTTTTTGTATCTAGCTTGATTTATGTATAAACTTAATATGTACATACTTTTAGTTATATTTGTTTAATAAAAAATATGTTAATAATAAAGAATTACTTTTGTTTCATTTTAAACCAGGACTGATGTTGATTATTGATCATAAATACATGGGCAGTAAAAGAAACAATAGACAGTAAAAAATGTACTGTTATACTTTGTTTTGCTGCAATTTTTAAGTCGAGTGAAATAGATATGCAATTTGTAATACTAAGTTCTTAAGACAGTTCCTTAATTGAGGTTTTACTAAATTATTTTTTGAATTTTAAAAAAAGTGAAATAGATATGCAATTTGTACTACGAAGTTTTTAAGACAATTTCTTAATAATTGTGGTTTTACTAAATTATTTTTTGAATTTAAAAAAAAAATATCGTACCTGTCACTTTTTTTCATTCGTTTTATTTAATAATAATTGTCTAACACAACAAAGTCTACTTAGAACGATATGATATAAATATAAATGAGTTCATTAAAAAATGGTCTGATTAAAATTAGTACCTAAATAAGCAAAAATTATCCCCTCATAAAACAAGAAATTAAGGAGTTCAGTAAAAGGATTGCAACTATATATTTTATTCAGTAAATTTTCATAATAGTAAGTATAAAAGCACAATCTCTAAAACGACAATATGAATAATGTATATTAAGATTTAACTCGAGTTTCAGTGAAAAAACTATATTGATATTAAAATATTTTAATACCTTCAGAATACTAATTACATACCATAAAATAGGAGTTTTTACGATGCGGGAAGCCTATCTAGAAAAAGAATTTTAGAAATCAGCAATGGGATTCTGTAAGCTCTGTAGCAAGAAATTTCCTATCGAGCCTATGCTATTTGTATACGATTGATGAGTCACTAGACAGGGAAATGTTTACAGAATCGCACTGCAGATACCTATACGCTACTAGGAGCCCCCCATTGTGAGACAGATATAAAATAATTTTTATATACCTATTCCATAGCCTATTCTTTTAAATGTCTGTAATATTTATAATAAACTTATTTTACGAGTAGAAGTATTGCACCAGCATCAAAATTAATACTACTTGTAAAAAACTGTTGCTCCTTGAGTTTGTAATAGATATAAACAAAATAAACATTCGAAAATAACTAAATCGAAGATATCTGAAAACTTTTGGTCGAAAAAGTGTTTTGCCATAACATGTTGGATACGATTAAAATATCTCGTTTGATAAATATGCGCATAATGTTACATTATCAAACTTATTTGATTTCAGAATATTTAACAAAAAGCTTCCAATTTTTCGAAAGATTTTAGAGAACGTCTTTAACCTCAACTTAAAATAAATAAAACCAAAACAAAACATATCATATATCATATGATTTGGAACTGTCCAATCAAAGTGCTTACAGATCGAGCAAGCGCAGAAAACCTCCTCCCGAACAAGGATAGACTTATGTAGGAAATGCATTGACATTCTATAGCCATCCTTCAACATCGGGACAGGAATTTAAGCGGTACTCTCCGTATATTTTATTAAAATGTATTTGTTAAAATTCAACAAGTTCATTTTTTTACTATCTATGTCAGCCAGTCAAATAATTCTTCTTTTGCAAATGATTCGCCGCGCTGCGCCGTGGTAAAAAGTTAATTTCTAGAAAATATAAATCCCGAACCAACATTTTAACTATTCTAAAACTAGCTGCTGGCAATTTTTTATCGCAGTAACCTTTGAATAAGGCAGTAACTTTGCGATCGATATATCAATGCATGTATACCTTATGTATACGCAAGATAACAAATTCAGGCGGTTCCGCGCGCTTTTATAATTTGCGCGTAAATCTATAGCGTAAATATATGATTTTCAGATAAATGCTTTTGAATACAGAGATATAGAGTTAAAATAATAATCCAAAATTAATACATTACATATATAATTAATAATTCATATATAAAATACAATCAAATCTGTGGCGAGCACAGGTGATCATAGGCCAGACAGCTGATAAGAATATGACTGTTGCTACATAAATATTATATCATGGTCATCATCATATTCGGTATTTTGAACATCATAAATTTTAATCGGCATAAAATTAATCAATTTATTTTTGACGTATGACGTTTGCAAAAATTTGGTTAGAAATTCAAACTGTGACATCTCAGATGTTTACTTTTTGATTCAAAACTCCTTTTCTTTATCCAAATTTTGCAGTTTTTCTAATTTTATAAAACATTAAAACTAATGGAAGATTTAAGAGATGACCAGAAAAATTTCTTTCGATCTGGTGTTTGTCATTATTGTAAAAAAATTTGTCTTCCTATAACGAGGTGCAAATCCTGCAAAATATTAGCTTATTGTTGCAAGGATCATCAAGTTAAAGATTGGAAAAGCCATAAAAGGCTATGCCAAGTTATTGCGAATGAAGGTACCTTTTTGAAATATAAAGTAGATAGTTATAACGATCTTTTAAATTATAAAAAACGACGAGGCTGTTATTGGCAGTATAAACTGGGACGCCAATTAAAACAGTATGAATCACAAATGTGGCTGTTTCCAATATATTGTGCTGTGTGTTTTTGCAGAGAAGATGTATTTCCATGTACAGATTGTTTAACAGAATATTATTGCTCTAAAGGCCATCAAGATAAACATAAAACCCACCATAAAATTTTTTGCAAGGATTTCCGATTGTCTTTAGACTTAGATTGTTTCTTTTATAACAACACACCGTTATTTGTTTTAAAATCTAAAGAAATTAGTGATGAAATTAATTGTATTCCAGAAGATATAAATTTTCTCACATCACTATATGATTCCTCAGTATCAAATAGAGATTTACATTTTATAAATAGTTGTGATGAAATATTAAGCGGTCTAACAATTTTGTTTGGCTTGGAACATGGAAAGGTTGTTACTAATCGTAAAATATATGATAAATCATTAGTAGTTCATTTAGTAGGTGCCTCAATTTTTGAATTAAGTTTAAACTGGATTTTTATTACTGAGACATTTATTCATTACATACAAAATTTGGAAAAAATTACTTTTATATTTGTAGGACCAGAATGCTTTCAAAATGATTTTTTTAAAAATGTAAAAAATGAACTTTGTAATAATTGTAAAAATAAAAATTTAGATATAAATCCAGAGTATTACAAATGCCTGTATCATGAAAAAATATCTGAATTAAGAAAACCTGACATTGTGATAGCATTTAATAGTGGTTTACACGAATTTGTTGACAGTAAAAATGATAGTTGGAAAAATAGTTTAAGCTCATTAATGTATTATAGTGATGTTCCTTTAATTTTAACTGCCTATACTGAAATTGAGATAAATGCTGATCTAAATCTAATTAGAAATGTTGCTAATATAGATATAATTTATGGTCCAAAACAAAATCCATATTCAAATTTAAAGCCTTTGTTAGACTGGGAAAATAATTTACACCCTGTATATTATATAAATAATTATGTTGCTGTGTTAAAAAAAGTAATATAAATTTTATAAAATAAGGTAGCATGGTTTAATATTTTTTTAACTCTTCTTAACAGTAACTGCTGATTTTATTATATGTATGCAAAGTACATACAATTTACACACAACTGTCTTAGACACTTTACTTCCTAAAGAAATAAAGTCCTTCAAAGTCTATATACAATTATATTTTGCAAATAGATTTCCTTTCCTTGTACAGTTATTAAAAAACAAGTATTATATTTCTAGAATTTATATTGTTTTTCTAGATTAATAAAGATGATTTCTAACTGGTATAAGACAAAGACTAACTCCATATTTTTCTGTTTTAATTTTATTGAACTTAACATTTTCTTGGGGAATATGAAATGTAAAATATGTAAAACTCTAAATAACTAATTTTTTTTATATTTTATTAAATATGGTTTAAAAATATGATATTGGTACTTAGACTTGCAAAGATAACATAATATAAAATAAAAATATACTATAAAATCTACTATTAATTATAAATACCTAAAAAATGCTTTGGGTTTTGGACAGACATTGATATCTACCGTACAAACCAATCTGATTTGTGGTTGACCTTACTGGGGATTAGAAAAAAAGGTTGGCTTGGGCTAATGACAAACTAAATTACAAGGTAAAATAGACATAAAAACTGTCTATAAAGATGAAGCCAACAATCGCTTTAAATGTTTAGTCATGGTATTCATTTTTTGTTATTTATTTTCATTATTTAGTTCATCATTAACTTGATGTTTAAACTAGAAATATATATTTTTCTATTTTAGCGTTAAATATATAAATATTTCTTAATAAAAATTACATGTTATATTACGTAGGTATTTACTCAATTTAATTCCTTTAAATGAAAACATTCTATCATTAAATATTTTAATTTGTTTTTAATAATTGCGGAAACTATATAATTACATTCTTGTCGTACAAAGATTATTACTTTGGTACCCATTAATAATGGGTTTTCTCAAAAATGATCAGTATAAAAAAGAAGGAATAGTTAAACAAATAATTACTAAAAAGACAATTTATTGTTTTTAATAGTAATGAAAAGGCCGCTTAAAATATTTAAACTTTTATAACCCCTTGTAGAGGTTCTTAAAAAAAACTTAAAATACATTTAAACTGTTCAATGTAATAAAAATGAAAGTATTTAATATTTCAATGACGATATTGTAAGATTTAAGATATTGTAGGCTTTTCCTATTTAAACACTAAAATGTTCATGATTTCGTTCATATTGTTTAACATTTAAGTAGCTCAGCGTTGATAAATCTGATGTACCTACACTTATTTTTTATATCTATCCATTTCACGTCAATGGAAAATATTATTTCAAGATAAATAATTTCAATTCAAAATATTGAATATACGTATCACAGCTTATTTTCAACCAGCTGGCCATCTTCACTTTTTTGGAGTATTCGCGTTTCACCTGCCGCGCCTGTACTCGTACACATGCCAGCAGTCAAAGCGCAAGTCTCATAAGAAGTCAGAACAGAGCTCAAACTTACACACTATATATTATACTGTACCATTAAAATATAAGGTACCATTACCATAGTAGAAACTAGTAATATACTTACTAGAAATAAAATTATAAAAATTGAAAATGATTATTTACTTATTTTTATTTCTATGATTTCTTCTATAATTCCTATATACCAATACCAGAACATGGGAATCTTACAAATTAGACGAGATATATACTCTAAGGAAATATGGTATACCTCTCTATACAGTGCTAATACGTATGTATATGTAAATCTAAACGATACTGATCTATAGATTAGTTGACTCTTGTAGTAACCACATTAAGAACCTTGAACCAAAAATTAAAAATACAATACAACTCTTAAAGGTACATACTTAATACATATGCAAAACAAATTGTTAGAGATGGATGGTATTGTCCTCGCCTTTGTATTTTCTACACCCAGTCAAAATAAATACGTTAAAAGCATTAACATTTCTCTTATTAATCAATGTTTATTTAACATTACATTTTATAATACATATTTATTTAACGCAATTATTCAGTAAATATCTCTGATTTTTTTTCAGTTTTTAAAAAAAGTCTTGTATTAACTCAATTTAGTAAAAGAATAATATATAGGGTGATGTAAATAGTACAGGCATAAACTATAAAGTGTGTCCACCGAGACAGGGAATATTTTGACAGACGATATCAAACAAATTGCAGAAAATTAAATTTGCCTCTGAATTAAAATGACAGATACAACTGTCATTGTCAGGGATCCTTGTGTTGGATCTTTAACTACCTCTACCTTCCATATTTTGAACTATACCTATAAACCCTATCGCACTCAATATGTTGGACAAACTATACATTTAACAATATATATATTCTATATAAATATTTTAATTTTAATGAAAATATTTTTTACTATACGCTGGCAAAGTAGGCACTAGGCACCTTGAATAAATTTAACAAATTCAAATTGAATTTCAATTTCTGAAATTTAAATCTTGAATGTTTTCTTCTATATAGGACAGATACTCTATATAGGTTGAACCAAATTCACAAATGCTTTTTTCAAAAATTAGTCACCAAAAAATGGTTGATTGTGATTTTTTATAGAATCCTGATCTAGATATGTCACATACAGGGTGTTCAAAGAGCTAATTGTAAATTTAATCTACTACCTATATACAGGGTGGCGCACCTCATTCGCCTCGGTTGATTATACGAAAACGGAAAGATGTAGTAACAAAATATTTTATGGGTATATGTGGAGAAGTAATGTGCACAATTTAAATTTATTTTGAAATGTACCAGCTCTGCGAAATAGGACAAGAAGTTTTTCAAAGAAACGCTTATCAGGAAGATTCCTATTTGGATATCTTTTAGCATAAGCCCTTGAGGCCAAGAAACAATCTTCCTGACAAAATAATATCACTAGTAACATATCTATTCGTTCCGCCAGCAGATACTGCTTTATTTTTCTTGGTGAAGTAATGAATACTTACTTATTAAACCATTTAGGTAAATTTAAGTAAACTGTTATAAATTATAAATAATAATGTCCATAAACTAATGTCGACTTTGATAATAGTTACTAACTGTCACTAGAAAATTGCCATGGCGACACCAGCCATCTTGATTGCAATTTTATTTAAAAATCGCTTTTTATTCAAAATCTAAGCTAGATAGGTATAGGAAACCCTAATATAGTTTGAAAGAGCATTTGAATCTGCTTCGATTTATTTAAAAAAATACAGGATGTTGCATTTGAAATAACGAAGTTTTTATATAAAATATATCCTTAAAATAGATCAGCAACTTTTGATAGCCCTGTATAAATTTAATGGAACCAATACCATTTTTCAGTAAAGTTTATTTATCTACCTTTAGACTCAGCATAAGAATTAATTCTGAAAAGTAATGTACAGGGTATTAATAGTCTATTCTATTATAGCATGCAAATTAAATATCTTTAAATATCTCAAAAACTAAAGATTTTGAACATATTTAACCCTTATAATAAATTCCTTTTTTTGAGCTCAAGAATCCAAAAATTAAATAAATTACCGGGTGTTCTATAAGAAAAAATATAACTTTGGTATGGATCTTAGTTCTGAGACACCCTGTATATTTTAAAATAATTTTAAATTGTGCACATTGTCTCCCCACATACACTCATAAAATATTTTGTTTCTACATCTTTCCGTTTTCGTATAATCAACCATGGCGAATGAGGTGCGCCACCCTGTATGTGCGATATAATCAAAATATGTTTTTAACTAAAAATTTTAAAAAATCCATTTTTTGCGAAAAAAACTCATATACATACATGTTTCTGGGGTTGCAATATCCTCATGAACTCCTAAAATATTTGCACTTATTTAACCCTCTGTATATTTTTTTCATCCAAATTTAGATATCATTTTATTTTCCTCCAAATTTAGATTAGTAACATTTTTAAGTTATTTTTTCGGAGTATTTGAATAAGCTGGATAAGGCTACTACATACATTTATCTTTTAAACATAGTATAAAACTTCCAAATTTAATCCATATCGGTTTCAACTAATTTACATTAAGGACAAGTATTTCTAAGATATTTATTCCCCTTAATTAATGTGTTTAAATCTTATTGTGTAATAAGACTAATTAGTACTTATGGTGCTACAGAACCCCTTCCAATGGTACTCGGTGGATTTGAAAGTAAACTCAATTCTTGGCCGCTATTAGCCAGTTTCAAGTTTGCCGGGCCACTACCAGTGCGGGGTCTAAGATTTTTTGAATTTTTAATCTGTTTTTGCAGGTATGTATACGATTTATATATTACAGAAAAAAAATCATCAGTAGAGTGTATATTCATGTTTTTCAAATTATTTACTCTTATTTTCTTGTTAAAAGTTTTGATATTTTTGTAATTTTTAAAGAAATTATGATAATATAAAGAATTTATAATTATTTAATTATAGTACATAATTAACATAATTAATTATAGAGGTGTTTAAACTTTTATTTGAATGGGTATAATTAGTAAATACTGTATGAAGCAAAAAGGTTTATGTTTGATATGTTTATCAAACAGGGTTTAATTTTATAAGTTTAACAAATTCAAATGTAAGTTTTCATAAGAATTGTTAGTCATTCTTTAATCATTATACAAAGCACTCTTCAAAATAGTTTTATGATAGCATAATCAAAAAGTTTTATAATTAATTAATCACATTGTATTTAATGTGTGTATTAATATTAATACTAACATTGTGATTAATTTAATTTTGATTCTTTAAAGGTACATTTATTCGATTTTTTCATTTTATGTTTTAATAACGCTCTTTATATTCATTTAGTTAATTGATATTTTAATTGTTAATTAAAATATCAAATATCTTTGTCTATGTGTAGTTTTTGAAGTAAGACCTGTCACCTCAAGAGATAAACGATCTACCAAAACTCTGTTGCAATATGCAATCTTTAAACATATACTTATATCTGAATAAATCAATAAACATGTAATTCATAAATTAGTGAAACTTTGCACCTTAATTTTAGTAACAAGCAGTGTTTGCGTAGGACTGTCTCGAAATCATATGCAAATTTTTTCAGATAAAATATTACACGATGATTAAGTTGGTAATCCTCGTTGTTGCGTCGTTCGCCGCCACTGCTTGGGGCTTCTCCGCTGGAGCCCCGTTATCAGTGTGCGATGACATGTTGCCCAAGCACCCTGTGGATCCGCAAAAATCCACAATGCCTTACAAAATCACCATTAATAAGGAAGAAGTTGGACCTGGAGGAGAAGTCGAGATCAAAGTTGGCGGAAAGTTCTTTTTAGGTATAATTTATATTTATAATTAATCTCTATAAATAATACCCTATGATCTAAATATTTGAGACAGTACTGTTTTCGGTGTGTGTAAATGTTCAGTATCATAGTACTTCCGGACTTCCTGTTGTACCGGAACTAGAGTTCTTTAATTCAATGATTTAACCTTTAGATGATTAATTTAAAAGTAACGTAATTTGAACTATACAGGGTGGTCCGAATTGTTTCCGGAAACTTCGGCAGCATATTCTGCAGATAAAAATAAGTAAAACAGTTCGTATAAATGTACGTCCTAAATTGCTTAGTTTCGGAGATACAGGGTGTAGAAATTTCATTTTTATTTTGATTTTTTCCAAATAATTTTTGAAATAACGGCAATATTTGGATGAAAATTGGTGGAAGTTTTTGACATGATAATGTCAAATTGTAGAGGGCGTAACCTATATGTGTTTAACTGTTTTGATGAGTAATAACTTTTAGTCGGTACCTGTATAAAGCCACCGAGTGAAAAAATATATACATTTCCGTGACTTTTTACTTTTTACATAAAAAATATCTCTTGGTAAAAATCGCTACACGCAACCGTTCTCAAGATATTTAGAATGGAAATAGTCATTATTGACAAAAAATAAACACGTTGCGTAGATAGTTATTTGACTGAAATAATAAATTTGGGAAATTTTTATTTTTTTAAATTAATCATAAATTTTTCTGCGAAAAAATGATAAAACAGTATCTGTTAATCTTTTGACACAAAA